CCGCCCCCATGAACTTTTTGAAGTGCCTGCATAGGTAAATAGGCAGGCAGATTGTGTACTCCCAACATCATTAATATTGGTTACCTTAGACAGGTACAATTGAGATGGGAGAAGAAAAGGGAGGGTCATTGGCTTTTCTTGTACATAACCTCTTATCAGAACAATTTATTGACATTAATAGAGTAACAGAACACAGTTAAGACCAGAATTCTAGTGTGGCTCTGCCCTTAATCATCCGTGTGACTTTAAACCAGTCAGGTGGTCTACCTGGGTCTGGCTCTCCTATCTTAAAAGCAGCACAAACTTCCTGTTCAGTCTAATTCAAAGATATAAATATACACTGTAACATGTACCTTACAAGGTATAGGTTAGGTTATAAGGTATAGGTTAAGGAAGCCACTTTTCCACATCTTGGGACCAACTCATCTGAAGGACTATTCAAAAAGTTTATGGAAGGGGCCAGTAGGTGGCACAGTGGTTAAGGCGCTGGACTCCCACATAGCCGACTACAATTTGAGCCCCAGATCTGGTTGCTTGTTTTCACCCTTTCTCTCTCTCTTGCTCTCTGTCTCTTTCTGGTGAGCACATGTGCCCTACAGCAAGCTCTAAAAATAATAAAAATGATAAAAATAAATAATCCCTTTTTAAAAAATTTATATAAAATACATATTATGAAAAAGCTCTGCACAAATTTCAAATTTTTTATCCCAATAAACTTATATTCTAATTGTTTTTTCCACAAACTTTTTGAAGTCCCTCTACATAAACATCTCAGGTCTTCTTAAGCCTTCTTCCAGAAGTAAACTCAGAAGTCCCCAAAGATCCACTATGTTCATTTTCAGCTCCAAGTGTGATGAATTAAAATATTACTGTTTTCCAACCATAACATACTAACAATGGAAATAATAAGAAGTGGTCCAATTCAGGATATATCTGGATGACAGTGACCAGCAGTGTTCTTTAACTGCCACTCACTTCATTAAAGATTGATATGGACAGTGTCATAAACCTTTGCTCAAGTGGTCATCTTTTTCAAGATTATTTTATCTAATCTCACTTAGTCATTTCTCTCCAAACTTCTTTTATGACTGCTTTAAATTTTATTATTCTAAACATTTTTAACTTCCTATGATTAGTTTGCAGTCCACAACCATAAAATCCCACAATGCTTCACGTTATCACTTTATGTCATGTGATAGAAGTTTGCTGTGAATTTCAGCCTTTGGAGGCGATAAGTTAGATAGTATCCTTCCCCTAGAAAAAGA